GATCTATAAAATCATATTCTACACCATAACCAGGTTGCACAACAACAGCTGATTCCAATCCTTTGATCGCATGCACCAATTGCTCTTGCTGTTCGTGTGGTAATGTACAAGATAAACCTTGTGGATAAATAAGTTCACTATCTAAACCTTCCGGCTCTAACCATATTTGATGAGTTTTAGCTTGAAAGCGTAGCACTTTCGATTCTATTGATGGACAATATCTTGGTCCAGTTATTTCCTCGGTTACATGTCGGTTGACATGCAAATTTTCACGTACTATGTCATTAACGCGTGAGGTGGTATGCGTCAAATAGCAAGGTAATTGATCTTCCGGTCTTAACCAAACGTTCTCATTCATAAATGAAAATGGTATTGGTGGATTATCTCCATAATGCAAAGGTAATCCAACATAGTTTATGCTATTTTTTGCAATTCGTGGAGGTGTGCCGGTTTTCAGTCTACCCATACGAAAACCGATTGATTCTAAGTTCTTACCCAAAGCAATTGCGGGAGCATCACCTACACGACCAGCGGGACGCGTTTCTAAACCAATATTTATTTGTGCACGCAAAAAGGTACCAGTAGTTAGAATGACTGTATGACTATAGACCACATCACCATTTTGTAGAACAACACCTTCACAACGTTTACCGCACTCTTCCAACTCGTTGTAATTTATTAAGAGATTATCAACTGCTGCACAGCGAATGTCTAAATTTTTTATTGAGAACAGTTCCTTTTGCACGGCTTGCTTGTAAAGTTTTCTATCGATTTGTGCCCGTGGACCCCAGACTGCCGGTCCACGTCGTTTATTCAATACCTTATAATTAACTCCCGAGACATCACAGCAACGAGCACAAATTCCGTCAAGTGCATCAATTTCACGCATAAGATGCCCTTTGCCAATGCCACCAAATGACGGATTACATGACATTTCCCCTATGGTTTCCACTTTATGGGTAACCAATAATGTGCGTGCCCCCATACGCGCCGATGCTGCACATGCTTCTGTTCCAGCATGTCCACCGCCAATAACTATTACGTCGTAACAGTTAGTTGACACCTTTTGATTATTAGCATTATTGCTAAATTTTTTATTTAAAACGTTTTTGTTAAAAAATTTAAATCGAAAGACACGCGTAAATTTATACATCACAACAAGAAATTAATCAACACAATCTCTCAGCTGTTACACTAACAGCTGTTCAATACAACAGCTGTTATTAAAATTATTAAGAGAATAAAAGCATTTTTTCGCTCTTAAATTTTTCATAGGGAATAGCAAAGAATATTAACGATGGGTTATCCGAAAAAAATTTATTGTTTGTTATAAACCTCATGTGCAGTAGAAATATGATGTTTGTATGTAAATTATTTAATATTAGTTTTTTTTTAAATTTTTGAATTAAATACAGTTAATTAGTTTACATTATATAATAAGAAAATTGTTTTATAATATAATTTAATTAAAATAATTATTTATATGCAGTATTCGAATTCACGAAAAAGTTATTGGCAACACTAAAACTGCTCTTAAAAAGTATTTGTTTCTCTTCAATTACAAGCATTGCTTATTTTTTACTTGTTGATTTTGTTGTTTTTGGACTTTGTATTTTTTATATCATTGCTTTTGCATTTATAAATCAACACACTTAGTGAAATTTTGCTTTATACAACGAATTTTGCGTTATTCGCTATTGTCTAATATATATTAAAAAATAATTAAAAATGCGTGGAATTTTACTGCAAAGTCCGAAAAAATTATGCACTCAAGCTGTTAGATCCGTAACTTCAACACCACAAGGAACAGATTATCAATACATGCAATGTTCCAAACTGCCGACAATGTATTTTCAGCGCTCCTTGCCACGTCTTCCTATACCTACACTAGACAAAACCTGTGAAAGATTCTTGTCTGCTGTGCAACCTATACTCAATGCTGACGAATTTGCTGCGACTCAAAAAGTGATAAAGGAGTTTCATCAGGGAGAAGGTATGGATTTGCATGCAAAGCTAAAACAAAACGATTTAAACAACAAACACACAAGTTATATATCCGAGCCTTGGTGAGTACAAGTAATATATAAATCTCTACTTACTAATATCTCTATAACTTCCATCCAAAGGTTCGATATGTACCTCAGTGACCGTGCGCCACTTCCACTAAATTATAATCCTCTCTTAATTATGAAGCATGATACACGGCCAGAATATCGATCACAGCTAGTCCGTGCTACGAATTTGGTTGTGAGTTCATTAAGATTTTGGAACTCATTAAAAGTAGATCTTTTAGAACCTGAAATATTTCATTTGAATGCTAAGAAGAGTGACACTCCTCAATTTAGGCAATGGATGCGTATTGCTCCAACGGCTTTTGCAACATATGTTGCTTACGTCTTCAAAGCCTTTCCACTAGATATGAGTCAATACAATCGTTTATTTGGTACATCACGTATACCTCAAATGGATAAAGATCTTTTAGTGCAAAATATTGACTCTAAGCATATCATTGTTATGAGAAGAGGTAATCTATATGCAGTAGATGTATTAAATCAAAATGGACAAATAGAGCAACCTAGCGTAATATTAGCGCGGCTTCAAGCAGTACTGAGTCTAGATAATAAACGTAATGCGGCTGAAGTGCCTTTGGGTGTTTTAACTACCGGTTCACGCAATGATTGGGCCCGCACACGACAACATTTAGTAAAGAATATATCAGAAAAAAATGGAAAGTTGATAGAAAATGAAGTGGATAAGGCATTATTTTGTTTGTGTTTGGATAGTGAGGAAGATCCAATTTATAATGATGATAATCAGATACCATTAATTAAAAATTTTCTAGCTGGCGAAGGAAAAAATCGGTAACATATATATTTGAAAATATATTTTTTTAATGGTTTTTATATATTTTTTATCCGGCTATAGATCACTTTATATTCTCTATTACGACTCTCCTTGACAGTCACCATCAGAATCAGGATCTGACATAAATTAATATTAATATCTAAATTCTTTTCATTCTATTGTCTATATTGCAAAGTGCAATGTTAGATCCTGATCCCAATGATGGCTATCAAGGTGAATCGAAATATAGAATATATTAAAAAATATTAAACAAACGTTGAATTTAAATTTTACCAAAAAGTGACCTATAGCCGAATAAAAAATATATAAAAATAATTATTAAAAAAAACAGGTCAATAAGTAAATTCAAAATTCAATATTTTTTATTTATTAAAAATAAAATTGTTTTCTTTTAGCTGGTTTGATAAATCTATCTCATTACTTGTGGGTGCTGATGGCACGGCAGCAGTCAATTTTGAACACTCTTGGGGCGATGGAGTAGCAGTTCTACGTTATTTCAATGAAATTTACAAAGAAACATTACAGCGGCCGTTTGTTAGCAGTGCCACCATTCCAGAAAGTTTGAATAATGATCACAGTGTGCGTTCCTTAAATTTTGATATAGATGATAAGTTGCGTGCGGATGTCGCATTGGCTTCATCAAAAAATTCTGATGTTATGGAAACTCTGAATATGGATATGCTACGTTATTCGCATATAAATAAATTATCTTGCAAAAAATATGGAGTAAGCCCAGATTCTATTATGCAGTTGTCATTTCAGCTAGCCTACAAGTTGGCATTTAATTCCTATGTCGGTACATATGAATCTTGTAGTACAGCTGCATTTCGACACGGTCGTACGGAAACTATGCGCCCATGTACAATTCCAACTAAAAACTTTTGCGAAGCAATTTTAAAACCAACTAACAGTAGACCTGACTCTAATGAATTACGAACTATGATCGATAAGTGTTCTACGGTGCATGGAAATTTAACAAAAGAAGCTGCAATGGGTCAAGGATTCGATAGACATTTATTTGCTTTAAAGCATGAGGCAGTTAAGCAGAATAAAACTATACCTGAATTGTACAATACCGAGGCATATAGAAAAATTAATTATAACATTATAAGCACATCCACATTGTCTTCCGATGCATTATTAGCAGGTTCTTTTGGACCAGTTGTGCAGGATGGATTAGGTGTTGGGTAAGTTTTTCATATTACAGAAAAAAGTAAAAAATTAACAATTTTCTATATAAAAATAATTTTACAGCTATTCGATACAAAATGCAGAATGCGGTGCTATAGTTTCTTCCTATAAAAATCAAAGGAATGGTAAACATTTTGTAGATTGCTTGGGTCAAGCATTCAGCGAAATTCATAAAACGCTCGATGCTAGTAAAAAATGAGATTAAGTCTTAAATGTTCTTCAAGCACGCAGAAATCGTGAATATGAAATGGACTGGTGATGTGCATGTAATTATTGATGTTGAGATTAATTATTAAAATAGACTTGTTTTTTAAAATAAATTATCACTCTCCATATGTTTTTTAAAAAACTTTAACTGTATCATTTAGTGCCATTAAAAAATAAATACTATTCTTAAAGTAATAATTTATAGACAAATAATGAACTCAACCAAATTATTTCCATTAGAACATTTTACCATCAATATAATAATTGCACCAAACATCAGCATAATGTAATATTAGTTAATTGTATGTATTCAATCACTATCTGATTTCTTTAATCTGTTTGTAGCTAGCTATTATTATTTGTTTTTTTTTTTTTTGTAATTTCTATATATTTATTGTACTAATGTAAAAGTAGACTCGAGAGTATTAACATAAAAATATATGATCTCTCTCACCTGTAGTTAAACGCGATATAAGTAAATAAAGGCATTTGTTCTGAGTAACTTTCTGCATTATAGCATATGTCGATATAGGTTGGTTCTCGAGATATCGTCTTTGAAAATGCAAAATCATTTACAAAATTAATGAAGTTGGACTTATTGATATTTTTTTAAATATAATTTAAAAACAAAACAGTCGACTACATAATAATGAAAGTATAAAAAATTGGATAGTTATAGTTTTGTATGTAGTACCAACAGTCAAAGTACCAGCTAATACCAATAAAATGTAAAACGAAAACAACAATAATTTCACAAAAAGTAATTACAGAAACTGTTTTTATAAACAGTTTTAAAATTAAAAAAATTTAACAATTTAACATCAGTGCCTAAAATAATTAAATCAAACATTAAGAATATCCTTATTACACAGTCAGCATACTTTTAGGTATTTAGTGTTTTAATGAAATACAGTTTAAAAAATCAACAGCCAAAACGTTAATGATGTATATTACATAGAATACAAGAATAAAAAACTTTGTTTTAAAATTTTTTTATTTTATTTTATTAAATTATCTTATTTTATTTTATTTTGTTTTAAATAAATAAAATTTCCACAAAAAATGTTTAAAAAAAAATATATATATATACTTCCAATATTAAAGTAAACAACAGCCAAAATGAGTGTTCATAGTAGAAACTGATTAAAAATGAAAAACTAAAATATTAACAACAGTCAAAGTGCACGCTAACAGGATTAAAATTGAAAAAAAAATTATCCTCTGTATTAAATATTTACGCTAAAAAATAAAAAAACAGATGCTTAATGCATTTTAAAAAGAAATTCTAAGAACTTCCAAGAAAAAATTTTATTATAGGAATTAGAATAATAAAGTTTCATTTATATATATATAAATATATATATATAATTATTTATATAGTAAATTATTTCAATTATTCAGTCAATAGGGAATACTATAGTGAAATCGTTTTTATTTTTAACTTAAATAATCGTGATTACTTCTATTCTATTCAGCGGGACGAATAGAATGCAAAAATTCTATTCTATTCTATTTTTTTTTTAGAAATATCATTATATATAATTATAAGGTTTTATAATTTTATAAAAAATATGAAACCATGTAAATACGTATAGAATAAAATGTGTAAGTCCTGTCTTTTATAAATGATCAAGTAGAAATAGTTGTTTTGTTTTTGTATTTTGTTAGTTATATTTTTTAGAATTACTAGTTCCTAGAAACTTGATTTTGATATAATTTGATATACGTAAAACATTTTCGACTGTACTGGAGAAAATGAATAATAATAAATTCTTCCGGTCGCAATAATCACATATAATCCAATTATCACTGTATTTAATAAGTTCATTAGCAGCTATTTTTTATTCAATACTCCAGTATAGCGGATTATTGAGATATCATAAAAAGATTTGAATCACACTATTTGTCCATCGATATTTAGTGTAAACAACATCCAACATAAAAATAAGTTCAATATTTTACTTGAATTCAATATTATTGGGTATAAATAAATTATATTAAATAAAAATATTCCATGATATTAGGTTAATTTAGCACTACTGAGCTCAAATCTACAGAAATCTACAAAATCCTAGACATCTGGGTCTCTGGGTCCTCAGTATACTTCTTACATATAAATGGATTAAGTTTTTTGCCTTTGACATCTCTTCCTAAATTCTTTCCTGCTAAAAGGAAGAGAAATTGTTTATATGTTTCTTACAAGACTTTATTTTTCTACAGGTTAATTTTGAAAAAATTCCTCCTTAAGAGAAAAGGCAATGAATTTGGGAAAGAATGTCTAAGAAAATAATATGTATCAATATATTTATTTGTAGAAAGTTTACTAAAAAACACGAAATTCTTATCACTTAAAATAAAAATTCTTCATAACTCCTTTAAAACCTTTTGAATTTTAATCCATTATTGCCAAAGACACAGACGTCTTTCTCCTAGACTGGTTATGAATTTAAAAACATTAAAATAACACAAAACTATTACGATTATTGTTATTATTACTATCAGTAACATGTTTAAAAAAATAAACTATAAACACTAGGATTACCAACATCGCGTCATCGAATCTCAGAATGGTTACGGGATCCTCGGGGAGGTATGCAGATCTTAGGTCAATTATTGCTTAGTCTGATGAAGTGATAAACAACAATCCAGTCAAGGCGTAGAGAGGGGTTATGAAGAAACCTCGCATTGACTCAACTAGTCTCAACATAATAATAAAGATTAATAAGAATTAACTAAGGATATCTTATTATTTGAAATCACGCATTGAAGCATTTATTTCACTTAAAGATTTGCTCGTTTTCTTTCTAATACCCTTTATTTATGGTATGTAGTTTTTGTTCCTTACAAGTTCCATAAAAAGGTTGCGTACCCGATTTGGTCAACTGATTTAGTAAGTGACCCAACAAAGATTACTAGATAATAAGTAATTGATACCTTACTTCTTTTTTGGTAGTAAATTTAGCATGAAAAAAAAAATAAAAATAAAAATATCTTCAAATTTATTTTTCATTTTTTAAATATTTATTTGTTTAATTGAATTTTTTAATAAAATGATGTGGTGATATATATTCTTTTAGTCGTGATTCGTATCAATTTAACTGCAGTAAATTAATCAAAAAATCCTCAATAAATTTATATGGAAATATTTTGCAAGTGTTTGGCGTTTTTTTCTATTTGTTGATTTTAAATGTAATTTTAATATTTATAATTTATTTATTTAATTTATAATGAATTAATATTCCAACGATATACATTGTTTATGACATCAATTACTCAGTTTCTAACATTAATTAAGCTATTTATTTAATATTATTTAAACTTATCAATCACTTATTTAATAAAATATTTATTTAATTTAAAAATGATAAATATTAAATTAAAATAAATTTTTGATTATTAAATTTCAAAATATTAAAGCATTTTTGTTTCATTGGTGAGTTCTGCAATATATATTTTTTAAAATATTTTTGCTTTAAAGCAATAAATTTACTTTTATTTAAATTATTGCATAAATTTATATTTATTTTAATTACTACATTTTAAAATTGTTGTTTAATATTTTATTTTTTTAATGTAATCAACTATTTTTTGTTTATATTAATTTTTTATTATTCACATTTAGGTATTAATTTAAATATATAAATACATTGAGATATATAGCGATTCAACAGTTTCGTCTAAACATTCATAATAAATAATTTTTTATAATAGTTCATTTATTTAGTTTTCATATGAATTTCATTTGTTTATAACATTATGTATATTTATATATATATTATATATATTTTATATTTATATGCGCGTATACATGTCAGCCAAGTGCAAAGTGAAAACTTGAAAATTTTATACGCAAAAAAATAATATACCATAATTAATTTTTTTTTTTGGTTTTTCAAAAATAAAATAAAATAAGATATTTAAGAGCAAAATAAAAAGAATTAATTTTTAATTAATTTTGATTAATATCATACTTTGCTACTTTTAGTTGACATGCACAGCCTTCAAAATTTAACATATTGTATCTGCTTAAAAGACCTTGTGTATTAGAGCCAAAATCGAGTGATACATTCGTAATACTACGAGAAGGAACAGTTGCAGAAATTCTAGAAGACAGATTGGAACTAAAACGTAATGGAAAGGAAATTGTTTTGTTTATTAACTTTTTAATTATTTCAATTTTTTATTATTAATTCTATCATTGGAAATTAAGAAACGTGTTAATGAACGAGAAGTTAACTTCTCAAGAGGAAGATAGAGTTGAAGCATTTTGTATAGATTTCTTGAAACCTATACATAGAAAAAGTATTATATTTTAATTTCAATATATTATACTCGTACTTTTAAGATACTTAATAATTAAATATTTCTAATACCTTTTTTTTACGTACCACATACAATTTTTGAAACCTTTATTAAGACATTGCTTTCTCTTTTGTATTTTCCAGATGATTTAGTATCGAGAAGATTAAAGTTACCTTGATGAGAATACATATATGTTGTCGCTTTCAGATCACAGAACAAAAACGCTTTGATAATGTTATTGCCACAGACTGCAAACTGCTTTTATTGAAAGAGGTAAAAAAAAATATAGGAGACAACAAGAAGACCAGGAAAGAAATAATCCATGCTAATATGGATTTGAAAAATATATATTGGTGATACATCCAACACTTTTAAGGATTCATAGAAACACGTATATCGAATATGCATAAAACATTTTCACAAAAGGATAATACAATAATTTCAACCTTTTATTAATTAATGCTATGTTGTAGCAATGCATAAATAATTTGTTTTATTTTTTTTATATAGATGTTATAAAAAATATACCCAACCAAATTAAGGATCAACGCGCTACGCAGATTCATAAAAGAATCAAACATTCTCCTAAAAGGAATACGCGATTTAAAATCGAAATAATAACATCTAGCGCTTGTGGCTCTTTTAAAATGTACCTATAATTGGTTTCGCTAACGACCCATTTCAGTAGCACTCAGTCCTGACCTATATATGTTCATTTATTCTACATTGAGCAGTAGCTTTCGTAGGTTTGGATGGACCTTTAAGTGTTTTTTAAACAATACAAATCTAAAAATCTCATATGGGAAAGATGCCTAAGCTTATAGCTTGAGAAAAATGGTTGTTTAGAAAAAAGTACTTAAAAGTATTATATCAAATTAGTTTAAGATTAAATAATTATTTTTCATTTAAGTATATTCTTACTTATGAGTAAATTGATTCTCTGAACATAAAAAAGTAGACCACATGTTTTGGAATTGCTTAAGAAATTATGGATAAACATCTTTAAAGATTAATTTTTTAAAATGATTTAATAATTTAAATTCTCCTTTAATTGATGTAAATTAGAAAAGATAATATATGTGTGTATGAGGATGCCAGATTCCTCAATAGTTCGAACGGAGTGGAAGCAGGTTGTATATGAGTTTAAGGATCACACTCGATTGTATTGCCAAACAAAAAAAAATTTTTTTGTTGAATTTATTTACATCGATATTTATTTTTATCTTTCTTAGTAGTGGTATTTAATGGATATTCAGAGGTATTACTAGAGCTTGCAATGGACAATAGCATAATATACGCACAAAGTTTCTTGCAATTGTTTGCAATCTTGCTATACCTAAACCCATGTACACATGCTTGCAACAAAACAAAAAAAAACCAGCTGTTTTGACATCAGTGGATGTGGTATGCAGCATAAACAGCTGTTTTATTTTGATTTTAAGTTGCCTTCGTTCCTTCGCAAGCGTTTCGCTTTGGTGTTCTCGCACTCTTGCAATATTCGTATAGCATTCTTGCATATGTTGCACCTTGCAATGACTTTGCAAGACAGAGTGAATACCCCTACTTTCTTAATTATATTAAACGAAACCAATAGAAAAAAATATTCCAAAAGTGCCATAACAAACCTAAAGAAAAGAAAATATTAAAATTCATATCTTGAAAAAAATAAATAACTATTCGGGAATAATCCATATAGAATTTTTTTAATTAAAATGGAGTGAAAGCAAAGATAGTTCGAATTAGCAAGAGAATATAAAGGAAGTTTCGTATCACACTAAAATCAGCTGTAAAGTTCAAATGTTACATATACCAGTTTATATACATACTTTTGTATGTATATATTTATATATATAGTAATTTACATCAATAGCAACAATAATTTTATTTTAATAATTTTTCTTTAAAAAATTTAATTTAAATGTTTAGTTTTAAAAGTGTCAAAAATTTATTATTTAGTGTTTATTTCATTTAATATATAATATTTAATAATTATTTAGTACTTTGTTTTTAAAATTTGTAATTTTTAAAGTAATTTTAAAGTAATTTCGTTTTCGGTTCACACCAATTATTTTGAATTGCATTTCATTTACTTATATGGGTTCTCCTCCGTAATAAATGTGTATATATATTAAATTTACGAATAAAAACCATATTTAGAGATTCTCTTCTTGTAACAAGTATAGCATTTCCTTTATTTTAAATACTTTCTCATAATTTAATAATATTCTCAAGTTTTAATAGGCATTTTTGTATTTAAATTTTGTAAATAAAAATATATATTGTGTCTTTTAAAGTTTTTTGCTGTCGTGTACACTTAAGTTTACAGTTTAGTCCCTAAAGAATTGTTTTCGTATTTATTTATTTTTTATTTATATATGTTATATATATGTATATATATATTTTTGTTTTTTTATTTTTTATGTTTTGTTTCATTTAAAACATAACTGTTTATAAATAATTTGTTGTTAATTATAAATAAGTAATCCTAAAATATAAATAATTTACGTTGGGGCGAGTTCAATAACGAGTATAATTACTTTTAATTAAAAAGGAGGCGGGGTCAACTAGGATCGTAGTTGTTTTATTTATAATTTCGTAGTATTAGATTCAAATCCGTTTAGACACCCTGTGCGAGACTTTCCTTGGATATTGTTATCATAGATTGCTCAACTGGCTGGTGGGAAAGAATGAAAGGAGAGGCCAACATCTGCAATGGACTATTTTTTAAAATTTATGTTAGTGTAAACTTTTATTTATTAAGTATATATTTTAACATAATTTGCACTATATCTTTAATTTCAAAATATCATATAAATGATAAAATAAAAATGATTTTAATTATAAAGACAGAAAGTTTATGAGAGATACTGAAGAAAAATATGATAGAAAAACTCAACGTGCTAATTAAAAAACTTTAAAATAATTAATAAAAAAAAATAAAAAGAAGACAATGTATATAAAAAGACTAAATTAATTAAGTCAGATATTAGAAATTGTAACATAGGGCATATAAATTGCCCTACTTAATATCAATTACTTCATATCAATTATGAAGTAAACCCCTGCGTTATACTCACGCAAGCAGTCAATTGTCAACTTAACTCAACATATTTTTATTTTAAATTAACAAATGCTAGCGTATCAAGAGAGTACCAAGAGTACCAAGTAAAAAAGTAATAAAATGCAACTTTAGTGCATTTATTGGGTTTTTGAATGTTTCTTAAAACTGCACAACAATTGCATAAATTATATATACTAAAATATTTTATTAAATAAATATTTATTTTATTAAATATTATTCATTTTTATTTATTAATTCAAATAAAAATTATTATTTTATTTATTATTACTAAGAAACATTACTGGTCTTAGGTTGTTAATTTTATTATTATAATAAAATATTTATTATATGAATATATTATATTAAATATTTAACTTACTATTTTCCATTTAATCTAACATAATTTTTAATAGTATTATCGGGGTCCGCTATGGGATAGCTAGATTAGAGAATTAGAGAAGTCAAGATTAGAGAAGTTGTATTTGGCTACTAAAATGTCATTTTAGATTTTATATTCATATCATATAATCAAATGATTTAATTGGTGTTTAATCAGTATTCGGACATTATGATGTTCGAGCACCTCGAGTTTATACGAATGCAAGTATTTAGATTGAATACTTTTTAGTCTCAAAAACATTTGAACTACTCGTTAGATATGCGAATTAATCCATTAGCTTATATGCTTAATATTTCTATTTATTTTCGTTTTATTTTTTCATCCTCCTCACTCGAACATTTTCAAAATATTCGAATAATATTTAAGATCGAAGTCATATCATATTACAGTACAAGAGATTTGAAGGCAAATACTGCTTTATAAGTACTGATAATAATATAATAATTATTGTAATAATAATTATATTAAAATAATATTGTTATAAATATTGCTTAATTTAGTTTCCATATAATCCAGAACTTTAGTCGCATTCCCACTAAAATATTTCTTATAAATAACTTATTTCATTAGTGAAGATGCCATAATTAAAACATAAATAAAAAAAAATTATTGGTGAACCATTATCATTCCGTATAATGCTAGAACTTACAAACAAATTAACATATTTTGAATATATTAATTTATTACTTTGAATTAAGCTCTCAAAAAAAAAACCATAAATAACTACGATTAATTTAAATTAAAGTAGATGAGAACTATAATGTTTTTTAATAAGGTTCAGATATAATTAAAAAAAAAAGTATAATTATATGTGAAAGAAATTAATAAAGAAATTTATATAAAAAAGTCATAAATATTTAGGTTCATTTAAATTCAAGTAGATGAGTGCTGTAAGGTGTATTGAATTAGATGGGAAATGTCTTTTAATATGATTCAAGTATAATTAAAAAAAATATATAAATAAATAAAAAGTAAAATTAAGATTTAGTAAAGAATTTAGACTCACTCAGCGAATGTAGCTGCTGCAGTAACTGGATTTCGAACGGTGTGCAAAGCTTGTGAATTTTTGGCGCGTGCTAATAGTGTCATCACAGTGCGTTTTGTGGGATTCATACCAGATCTTGGTACACCTAAGAGTGGTCTCTTTCGTCCTAAACCACCAGCTGAAAGATATTATGACATTAATTTAAATAGATTAAAATATTTATCAATAGATTAATATTAATAAGCAACAAACCAATATTAATTGCTTTAACACCGCGTAACGCTGGATGTAGAAGTGTGCCAGGAGGATCTAAAAGTGCTAAAGTCGATGCAGTTGTATCAGCTTCTGTTGGTATTGCAATGCCAGCATTTGGTTGCGTTGGTGTTAATCCGGTTACAGCAGTGACACCGGTAGCGGGTTTTAGAATGCTGCCAATGCCAGCGGCTGTAAGTTGGTGTTGAAGAGCAACCGCCATAGCAGTGGGATGTACTAAAAATGTAAATATTTATTTAATTAATTTTGTTAATTTTTTTTTTTTTTTGGAAATATATATAATTGTTGCGTTAAACTTACTTGAAGTTGCATTTGCTTGTACAGTCATATTATCCGCATTTGGAGTTGTTAATACGGAATTTGTATTGGTTGTAACGCAATGTGCCTGTTGTTGTAGGAGATGGTGTAAATGTTGGTGCTTCTGATGATCGTTGTTGCTATTTATATGATGGCTTTCAAGTTTTTCAGCTGGATTGAATTCCATAATGCTTGTGTCAGTTTCAGATTTATCATCATTAGAAGTATCCATATCGGTGACAGCTCCTCGATTAGGACTCGGCTGATCACTGGAATGACTTAATGTGGGTGTTGATGTGAGGGCTTGCATTTCCCACATTTGCTCCTGTCGTATATCATCGTGATAATCCTATAGATGAAACAATTATATAAATATTGTATAGAATTTATTCTGCTGAAACGTATAAATATTAAATATATTAAAATGAA